ACTAGTGAGGAAGCGAATTGGTTAAGAGATTTATTGTTTCAAATTCCTTATTTTGAAAAACCAATTCCTCTTATTTTAATTCATTATGATAGCACTACTGTGATTGTTAGAGTTCAAAACCGTTATTACAATGGTAAATTCAGACCTATAAGGAGGAAACACATTAATGTAAGATCATATTTGACAAATGGTACCATTAATGTTAATTATGTCAAATCTTGTGACAATCTTGCAGATCCTCTTACTAAGGCCTTAACAAGAGAAAAAGTCTGAAGCACATCGAGGGGGATGGGATTGAAGCCTATAAATCCTTGAGTCATATATGAGGAAACCCAACCTGGGGACTAGAGATCCTATAACCAGGTTCAAAGGGAAAAACTAATCATATGATGACTTGTTGTGAAAAATGCACTACTTTTTTTATTCCCTCCCTATGCTGTGAGTGCATTGTTTCCTGTAGTTTGTGAAGGTTGAGTTGATAAAACTCTTAATGAATATATGTAGCCCGTATGGGTACTGGAGTGTTAAGCTTACAGGAGCACTCTCGACAGATTTCACCTATGTGAGTGTGGAAGTAGGTCGCTTCTTATTAGAATTGGGCTTATTCTCAAAAGCACTCATGAAACCGGGATAACACATGGCCATAACGTGCTGACTTTTAAAGCTTATGTTAGCACCTTAATTATTATGTGTGGACAATGATATTTTATTTCCCCTAAGTAGTCATAGTTCAAGTCTGAGACCACTCTCTGGAGTAAAAGTTATTGGTTCACTAAGTGGAGGTTCAATGCAGAGCACACCTTCATTATGCATAGTAGTCTTCCATCAACTGATGGACTCTCTTTATCTAATATTAAAATGAGTGGGGGATTGTTAGTGTGGCAATTTAATAATTTAAGAATTCACACTTTTTGCATGGCCACATAGATGTTGGTTTATGGCCGTTGGTGCACTTCTCATATATGTTACATGATGATGGATGACTTGGCAGTTGTTTGTTGCCGTTGAAAATAATTATTGCTGCATTACTCCAAATGGAGGTGTATATGTTACAATTTTCTTGGTGCATGCAGCAACTCCCAAGCCGTTGGTGGCTTAAGTGTCCCTTTATTTTCATTCTTTATTCCTCCATTATACCTTGTAACATATGTAACTCCTAAGGCTATTATCTTCACTATTTAGTACCCCGTTATCTTTCTATTTATTCCTAGAAAGACTTCTTCTACTATAAATAGTGGTGGTCTTCATTTGTTTTACATATAAGAAAATATAGAGTGCATAAAGTTTGTTAAAAAAAAAGAGAGTTCTTATTAGTTGAAGGGAGGTGTTCTTTCTGTGGAGCTTTGTCCAGAGTTGTTGAGTTATATATTGTGATTAGGTTGTTGTATCTTGGAGGGGACAAGTCAAGAAGGACTACTGCTGGACCGGTGAAAACATTTGCTGCAGTGGGCTTGAATCTCCTTAAAGAGAGCGAGATATCCGCGCCTCAGCCTGAAGAGATTTATTTCTTCATTTTTATTTTCAATTGTAATCTTGTAATTCTGTTATTTTGTAATTTTTCACTAACACCTTATCATACAATTGATCAAGAACAATCTACATATATCCATCCAACAATTTTCACTTTTTCTTTTAGTTAACACATATAATAATGCCTCTATATATAGCTTCAAGATAGGTTCAATTTTCTCAACAACAAATCTAGCCTCAAATTCACTTGATCACAAACATTCATATATCATTTCTTGTATCCTTCACAACTTCTTTAATTTCCTCTTCACTAAAAGCTATATATAAATCTTGGCATTTGGCAAAACTACTCATAATTTAATTTCTTGAAGTTGTGTAAACATGGATATGGTGATGAAGTTGGGAACATCAAGCGCAGTGGTGGTATTCACTAAGAGTAGTTGTTGCATTTCTCACAGTATCGAAACTCTTATCCGTAGTTTTGGAGCAAACCCTACAATTTACGAGATCGATACTCATCCAAATGGAAAGAAAATGGAAAAGGCATTGATGAAACTAGGGTGTCAACCAACACCAGCAATATTTATAGGGAAAGAATTAGTTGGTGGTGCAAATGAGATAATGAGCCTTAATGTGAGGGGCAAGCTTAAGCAATTACTCATTAGGGCTAATGCCATTTGGGTATAGAAAGTAATTATAATTAGGTAACAAGCGTATATATTTGGAGTTTTTTATATAATAAAGAGAAAATGGTCAAAAACCCCTCCAACCTATGGTCGGATTTTCAACTACACACTCATACTTCACAAGGGTCTTATTACCCCCCTGAACTATTTTATAAGGAAATAAATTTCACCCTAAAATGACATAGTCACTCATGTGTATTGTGGTGTAACACACGCACATGCCATGGCAGTGTCACGTCAACACCATGTCAATGCCACCCAATAAATATAATAAATGAATTATTTTTCCTTTTTTTAAAAAATTATTATATGCCCCATTAGAAACCCTCCATTATCATTAAGAACATCATCATTATCAAACTCACTTCTCATCCATTGACATTCCGGCAAGAGAAAAGACGGTAAATTTTTTCCAACGAATAAAAGTTTCTATGACCAATATCTTTATCCTATTCCCCACAATTTTCTCAAAGTTCATTGCTACACATTTTACTCATGTTGGGGGTTTATGAAGGGATATACCCAAAGTAGTATGTGGGAATGCCATAAATTTTGAATTCAATTTCTTTCTTTTCTTAATGTTGGTGAAAGTAGCAAACCAAATTAAAGCATTGAAATTAATCCAATTGAAAAAAATTATGATCCAATTGAATTTTTTATGCCCCATTTCTAAAATACCCCAATTTGTGGTTAAATTCAAGAATGTGAAATTAGAATTAACGTTTGAGAGAAAAGCTTGTGAAGGTGTTGGAAATTAAAAATTCTATGTTTGTTTGAAATAGTTCCGGTAAAAAAATTGAATTTTGAGTTCTTTATTTTATTACTTTGATTTGGGAGTAATAACTAAATTTTTTTAAAGGTTCTTTGATTATGTAAGAGACGGTTAATATGTAAAATTCCTGAAGATATTTGTAGAGATTTGTGATGAAAAATAAAAATAAAGCAAAAGTGTGTAAAAGAAGAAGAGGTGTAGGGTGAGTGTGAAGAAGAAGTGTGGGGCGGTTGGGTTGGGGTGGGGGAGATTATTTTAATTTAATTAGAAAGAGAAAGAAAATAAAATAAAAATATGAAATAAACATAAAAGCAGCCCTACTTATTCTCTTTTCACTCTCTCAAAGAGAGTGAAATACACTTTCTCAGCCAATTCAGCATTAAGGGTTTATTTATTCTATTTTAAAACAGTTCAGAGGGGTGATAGAACCCCCGTAAAATTTAAGTGTGTAGTTGAGAATCCGGTAATAGATTGGGGGGATTTGACCATTTTCTCTATAATAAATATACAACTTATACATAGAGTGTTTTAGCTTCTTTGGATGGCTGTTTTTTTCTACCTATTTGATTTGGTTCTTGATGTATAAATAAATAATAATATCTTATACTATAATATATGATTAACTGCTCTTTATTTTGTTATGCTTTTCAGTTTAAGGTTGAGCAAGGTCCATTACAATGACAAATATACATAATATACATATCAAGGCCATAAAATGATCTCTAGTACATTTAAATACTCTTGAGTTTATAATCTAGTACATTTATGGGGATACATTTCCTTAATTTGAAATTATTAGTCGTGATTTTTATAAATAATTATTTTAAAATATTTTATTGTTTAAGAAATTTAAGATTTTTTTTCCTTATTTACTTTTAAGAATAATTATTTTAAAGACTACAAACAATTGATCTTATGATTATTCAAATATCAATAAAGAATAATTCGACCCGTAGATCACATGTGGCAAATATTCCTACTCAGAAAAGTTTTTAGTAAAATATCAATAAGAGGATTTGACATTAATTATTTTTTTAAAGTAATGACAGGTTCCAATTTGGACAAGGTATATTACAGGAGAATGCCATATAAAACGTCCTTGTCGAGAATCATAAAAATATTATCCAGTTTAAAGTATTTTATATTATTTGATTATGGGAATTAAATAATATTTGCAGAGATGACAAAAGCTCATCTAAACCCTACTTTTTATACAATTATTTATTGGATCAAATAATGTATAATGATATTAGATCACAAATTTAAAAAAAAATCTCTTTTTTCTTAAATTTTGTAGTTGATCAAAATATATGTCACGTAAATTGTGACAAAGGTGTATCAGAATAAACCGTTATTGGCAGGCTAAATAAGCTCTTATACTAGCCTTTCAAAGGTAGCAAAGGACTACTATTTCTTCTTCTTAGCACTTCTTTTCTCTCAAAAGAATCAATATATAGATAATAAGAGGACAATGGATTATGTGATGTATGTACTGTTTGGAATATTTCTAAAAAAATTCAATTTTATTTTTATTTTCTTAAACTCCACCGACCGTATCAAGTAAAAATAACACAAACAAATTAAAACGGAAGAGGATCAGAATACACTAATGTATGTGACCTTTGGAGGTAGTAAGGGAGCAATTTTCATAGAACAACACTTCATGTACTATCTTTTCTCTATAGTACGGAGAGTATAATGTGGACTTGATTTCAACATGTCAATGAAGATATATTCTTTAAAGATTTCATATATTTTTTCCATTTATATTAAAAGTAAGATTCTATTAAAAAAGATCACTCCAACTTGATAGATTTAAATTTATTTTTTCCTTAATTAAAAGATACATTATTTTCAAGAGGGCATACATACTAGTGGAAATGCAACATTAATGTTCTGAGAATATTTTAAAGGTAGATAAGGCTATTATGCCCTTATATTTAATTAGAACAAGTACTTGTTCTAATTAGATAATTTTCACCTTTTTTTTCTCTCCTCTTTTAGCTAACATAATGCCTCTATATATAGCTAGCTTCATCATAGGATCAATTTTCTCAACAACAAATCAACCCTCAAATTTACTTCAAAACTTCTTTCCTCTTCACTAAAATCTACATATATATATCTTGGCATTATGGCCAAACTACTAATTATTTCTTGAAGTTGTTTAATCATGGATATGGTGATGGAGTTGAGAACAACAAACTCAGTAGTGATTTTCACCAAGAGTAGTTGTTGCATTTCTCACAGCATCAAAACCCTAATCCGTAGTTTTGGTGCAAATCCTACGATTTACGAGCTCGATACACATCCAAATGGTAAGCAAATGGAGAAGGCATTGAAAAACCTAGGATGTCAACCAAGTGTTCCAGCAGTATTTATAGGGAAAGAATTAGTTGGTGGTGCTAATGAGATAATGAGCCTTAATCTGAGGGGCAAGCTTAAACAATTACTGGGCTAATGCCATTTGGGTATAGACTCATTTGATACTTCTTCCTTTGTTTGCAGTTGGGAGGTTGGAAGCAGACAAAACTGGAACTCCTTTTGTTAATCATATAAAGCTAAATAGTATTAGTAAATTAATATTGTAATCAACCCCTACCCTCCTCTCCAGATACTAGTAGCAGTTATGCTCTGTCATTCTCTTATACTGATGCATATTAAAATATGATATATTACATCATTTTGTACGAAAAAAATATAATTAACTAGATAACAAATGTGTATTTGTAGTTTCTATAATAAATTTACAACTTATATGTATAGTCTTTAAGCTTCGGATGGTTGTTTTTTTCCCCAACATATTTGATTTGGTTCTTGATGTATAAATAAATAATAGTATCTTATATACTACTATATAATATAATATGTGGTAATGATATGATTTTTAATGTCCGTCACTGATTATATGCTCTCTCTTCTTTTTTTAAAAAAGTTTTTTGAATATTTTATGTTACCTTTTTCTTACTTCACTTTTTGAATTCTATTAATTCTGACTGTTGAAAAAATAATCCATTTTGAAAAAGTAAGGGTGCAATGAACAACCAGACGTTTTTCTAGCTAGATTTTGTTTTTCTTTAACAAAAATAATATTTACGAGTTCTATATTAGCTGTCATATTTCTCTTCTCAAAAGTCAATTTAATTAATTAAATAATATTTTAAGACCGATCGTAATTCGGACAATAGATCACATGGCACATATGGCAAAAGGCTATAACAATGAAAACGAATTGACATTTTCTCTTTTTAGTAATGGCAGGGGAATGTATTCCAATTTGCACAAGCCATATATTATAAAATGGGAATTTTTTTTTTTCGTTTTTCAATTTTGAAAAATCAGATAACCAATCAACTAAGCTACTAAAATTTCCTAAAATGCTAGAACTCGGAACTTGTAAACAACAAATAGTGCCCATGTATAAATATCCTTGTCTCGAGAATCATAAAAACACGGGAAAATAGTTTAAAATATTCGTGTATTTTCGTCTATTAGTTAAATTTATCCTTAGTTACATTATAGAACTAAATATGCCTTTGTCGTTATTAAATTAGGCAAAAATATCTCATTTTGAATAGAATCACCCAAATCAAATAAAATTGAATATTTTTCCCAAAATGTGGATTGATGTGTTTATAATTGGATTTAATTTGATATGATTTATTTTGTTTGGTGGGTTGTGTCAAATCATATTAAAAGAGGGGAGTGAGTAATTTTTTGTTTGATTTGGAAGATTTCATTCAAAATAGAGACATTTTTGCATACTTTAGTAACAACAGAGGTATATTTGGCCCTATAATATAATTAGGGACAAACTTCATTAATTTACGAAAATAGAGGGATACTTTTTACCCTTTTCCCTAAGAGCATAATCAACTTTAAAATAATTTCTTTTAGTCCCATCCCTTACACTTTGTTTAGTCCATGGTTGTTACGTATTGTTTCATAATGTAGCGTATTAAATTGTACTCCCTTTGTCCCTAATTACTTGTCCACTTTTCCTTTTATAGTTGTCCCTAATTACTTGTTCACTTTTCCTTTTATAGTTGTCCCTAATTACTTGTCCATTTTGACAAATCAAGAAAGGACAAATTTTTTTACCTATTATACCCTCAATTAAATGACTAATTACTTTGAAAAATGTAAAACTTTTCATCTACTTCATAATTAATAGGGATAAAATGATAAACTCACTATGTCATTAATTGTTTTCTTAATAAGTGTGTCAATTCAAAAGTTGACAAGTAATTAAGGACAGAGGGAGTATTTGTTATATTTGTATCATATTGTATTATTTTTATAGATACAATATTTGTATAAATTGTATCAGTCTATGTCATACATAATGCCACACATTCATATTTGAATGATAAACCTATCAGAAAACTACGATACGGGGATAGGATCAAAGATATAAAGGACAGGAATGTTACGTACGAACCTCCTTAGATTTCTCGGTCATTAAGGCCGTTTTGGGTAGGAGTAGAACAAATATACTAGCCTCTTCTAAAAGATCTTGTATATAGTTTGAGATGCCAAACTCGATCTGTAACTTTTTGCACTCTAAGATCAATGAAGACAAAGTTTTAATTTTAAAAAATAATAGTAATTTTTTTTAGGGAAAAGGGATAAATATACCCGTCATTTCTTCCCCTTTTCCGATTTCAATAATAATAGTTAAAAAAATGTTACATAAATTGAGACAGGAAATGCAAAGGACTTTTTTTTTTTTTTAATCCCTCCGTAGGAGCTCCCACCCCTTTTGCTCTCTTGGTGACTCAAACTCGCAACCTTCGGGTTCAAAGTGAGGGGTAGTTACCATCCGAGCAACTCTCTCTCGTCAGGTAGCAAAGGACTATTTCTTCTTCTTAGCACTTTTTTTTTTCTCACAAAAAGAATCAATAGATGATAAGAGGACAGTTGATCATGTGATGTATGTACTGTACTTTGGAATATTTCTGAAGAATATTGTTAGTCATGATCATCAAAGTAAAAGAATATTGTAATTCGAAGTACCACACATCTGTTGAAGATTTTATTTTATCCTCAGATCCAAAACAAAAAATGTGTCATATATATCTTTTAGAAACTAAAATGATACCCCTTCGTTTTAATTTCAACTTTTTATCGGACATGTTTAAGATCATAAAATCAAAGAGCACTTTGATAGGGTCTATATATCTTTAGCCACTACTAAAAAATCATTATTTCCCCATTGAAATTTCCAAGTGAAAAATGTTAAGCCGCTGGTCTCACAAAATATCGGTAAGAAAAGAAAAAAATAATTATATTTCAAACAGAAAAATTAGGGAATTTCCCACTATTCTTGTTTTCCACTATGCATTTTTTCAATGAGCTGATCCAGTGGAAAATGACTGGGAAAATATAATCATGCTCTATAACACAACTAATTTGCAGTAGAAAATATCTTTGTCCGTCAAGTCAAAACCATATAAACAAATTGAAAACGGAAAAGTACACTAGTATATGTGACCTTTGGAGGTACTAAGGGGCCATTTTCATAGACCAACAATTCATGTACAGATGTACTACATTCCCTTCCAAAGGGAATTTTAACAAAGTTTATCTCTGTGGTACGGATAGTATATAATGTGGACTTGATATCAACAACATGCCAATGCATGTGGATATATTCTTTAAAATTTTCAAATTAAAAAATATTCTCAGAGCATTATCGGTTTCTTTTTTCCTTTAGATGATATATATTATTTTCAAGAGGGCATACTATGTACACTGGAAATGCAACAATATCAACGTTCTGAGAATATTTTAAAGGTAGATAAGGCATGCATGCCCTTATCATGAAAAATCTAGATAAATCCAACTTGTTCTAATTAGAGATATCTTCACTTTTTTTTTTCTCTTTTAGCTAACATATAGATAGTGCCTCTATATATAGCTTCATGCTAGGTTTAATTTTCTCAACAACAAATCAACCCTCAAATTCACTTCGCAACTTCTTTCCTCTTCACTAAAAACTATATACATATATTGGCATTTTGGCCAAACTAATTATTTCTTGAAGTTGTTTAACCATGGACATGGTGATGAAGTTGGGAACATCAAGCTCTGTAGTGATTTTCACCAAGAGTAGTTGTTGCATTTCTCACAGCATCGAAACCCTAATCCGTAATTTTGGAGCAAACCCTATAATTTATGAGCTCGATACACATTCAAATGGGAAGAAAATGGAGAAGGCATTGATGGAACTAGGGTGTCAGCCAAGTGTTCCAGCAATATTTATAGGAAAAGAGTTAGTTGGTGGTGCAAATGAGATAATGAGCCTTAATCTGAGGGGAAAGCTTAAACAATTGCTCATTAGGGCTAATGCTATTTGGGTATAGAAATTAATTATATTAAGCTAACAAGTGCATTTGGATGGTTGTTTTGTTCTACCTATTTGATTTGGTTCTTGGTGTATAAATAAAAATAATAATATCTTATACTACAATGTGTTATTACATGACATTTTTATTTTTAAAACTTTTTAAATAAAATTTTTAGATCTGTCACTAATTACGTGCTCCTTTTTTTTTCGTTTAAGATTGAGCAAGGTCCATTACATTGATGTACATAATATATATCAATCATAAATATGATCTCTACTACATTTAAATAAGGGTAAATTACAGAAATTACATACTTGTAAGGCAAAATTACAATCTATCCCTTAAAAGTTTATAATTACAGAAATCTCAAACGGATACAATAATATAAGCGCTGATGCATTAATCTGATGCGCGAGATACATTAATCGTTAAGTAAGATACATTACATTTTATGCATGATACACTAATCTGATGCGCGAGATACAATAATATAAGCGATGACACATTAATCTGATGCGCCAGATACACTAATCTGATGCGCGAAAATGAGGGATTTTGGAGATTTGTAAAACTTATAGGGGATAATGGTAATAAGTAAACTAAAAGGTGAGATTTTTGTAATTTTTCTTTTTAAGTAATACTCTTTAAGTACATTTGTGGGAATCTAATATGTAAGATGATATTTTATGTTACCTTTTCAATCTTACTTCACTTTTTGACTTATATTAATTCCAGACGTTTTCTAGTCAGATTTTGTTTTCTTTAACAAAAAAGGCATATTACTTATATTCCGCCTCTCTAAAGTAAATTTTATTAATTTTCATTTGTAATTAAAATGGATTAGATTATTTTGATATTTTAAAATTACAATTTAGATATAAATATTCAAAAAAAAATAATTATAAATTGCAATCGTTCTCGTATCAATCTAATTTGGAGACGGGGTAATTAAATCACTAGATCACAAATATTCCTACCCAGACACTAGATCAATAAGAGTTTGACATTTTCTCATTTTAGTAATGATAGGGGAATGTGTTCCAATTGATGCTATAACTTGACTTGTTAACCAACAATAATGCCCATATATAATATGTCCTTGTTGAGAATCATAAGAACATGGGAAAAGGGTAAACAAAATTTCCAATTATTTTTGTCTATTAAGTTTGTTTTTTGTTATACTCTAGGATCTAATATCTTTTACAGTTATCAGAGTATGATAAAATATCCCTATTTTAATTTGGATGGAATCCCTCAAATCAAATAGGGATTTTTTTGCATATTTCAGTAACGACAAGGGCATATTTGACACTATATATAGTATAATTAGAGACTAACTTAACTAATATTCGAAAAATGAGGGATATTTTTTACCATTTTCCCTAAAAACATAATCTTGAGTTTAAAGTAATTTTTTTTAGGAAAAAGGGGAAAATATACCCCTCAACATTGCCTCTTTTCTCGTTTAAAATATAATGTGCGTAGTGAAAAAGTACTACATAAATTGAGACATGAGAGTACATGTTGGGTTTTATGCAGTTTTGATTATTAACAAAGTAACATGAAACATGTAAGTCAACCTGGTTCATAGATGCACTGTATCAAGAAGCCGAATCCGTTGCAAGATCACTAATGAATAAAGACAAGCGTGCAATAATCAGGAAACGAGTGATAATTATGTCATAAATTCAATGAAACAAACATGTGCTAAATTGAGGAGTTAAAGTTCAACTACAGCACAAAAGAATCAAAGAGTTTGATTTAAAGAACGAGTTTCACTTGAATTAGAACTCAAGTTCAAAAGAGTTTGAGTTGATGGAGAGTTTGTACATGTGCTGAAGAGTTGGAGTTCGATTACAACACAAAAGAATTAATGAATTTGATTTGAAGAAGAAGCATAAAGGACCAGGAGTTTGAATTGAAGGAGTCTGGCTTACTTGAAGTAGAACTCTAAGTCAAGAGAGTTTGAGTTTGTCGAGTTTAAAATGAAGAACAACTTTCTGAAGAGTTTTGCTTAAAGGGAAGTAATGTTGATGTAATCTTAGTTCAGTGAGTTATAAGCTGAATTAGGAGTGTTTGTTTTCAAGTTTATTATAACTCGAAGACTTGAGAACACATACCTTGAGAGGTTTTTGTTGAAGTTTATGATTTAGAGTTATTTTTTTAGATTATGGAGTTTGTAATCTTAAATTGTTGAGGCTCAATGATTTAGTGAAGTTGGAGTCAAATTCGGTAGGCATACATGTCGTGGTTTTTCACACCTTTTGAGACGGATGTTTTTCATGTAAAATATTATGTTATTAATTTACTTACTATTCTATTTGCAACAAATGTTAAATATATGAAAAATAAAATAAATCAACCACAAACAAAATATGAAGAAACAAGAATATTATCGATAAAATAATGTGGGTACAGTTTTATTCCTCCCTTGGTTCTTCTCTCTGAATTTTGTCTTAGTTCGAGGTTTAATTTGTTAGTAGTATGTTTCTCTAATTAAGGATTTGAACTTGATCTCCATGAAAGAATTTATAGATCTTCTTGAAGTATTTGATTATCAAGAAGGGTCGTCTCACATATCTTGATGTCTTAATGAGTATCCCGATTGTTTAGGAAATATTCGAGATGCATCTTTAACGAAATATTTTGTTGATAAACAGTGCATGTGCACTTTTTGTTCCTCCCTTCATTTTTACCTCTAGCTTTTCTCCATAATTCGAGAGTTGCTAGTAGCGTATTCTCAAATTAGGGATGATTTGGACTTCTTTGATCTCTTTATGAATATTCCCAGAGCTTATGAGATATTCGAGATTTTGATCTTTATGAATATCCATTAGTTTATGGGATATTTGAGATTTTGATCTTTATGAATACCCAAGAGTTTATATGGATATTCGAGATTTTGATCTTTATAAATACCCAAGAGTTTATGAGAGATTCGAGATTTGATCTTTACAAATACCCAGATGTTAATGTGATATTCAATATGCCTCTTCAAAAGGAAGATATTACCTTTTATCTAGGCATGAACTAGGGTTATAGGATAGAGTAACCTCCTAGAACCTAACTGAAATTAAACTCGTCTTATGGAGTGCCAATTGAAATTAAATATGTCTTGTAGAGTTATATAAAATTTTGATGTCTACATGTTCATAATTACAGCTGCTTTGTTCAAACACGTTAGATAACCTGTTTCACACTTAGATGAAAAATTAAGTTAAGTAACTAAACTCTAGATCGTGTAGAATAACAGTATAAGAATAATTGGCAAGCCAAATAATAGGCTCTTATACCTAGCTTTTCAAAGGTAGCAAAGGACTATATCTTCTTTAATTTGTAGCACTTTTTTTTTTCCAGAAAGAATCAATAGATGATAAGAGGACAATTGATCATGTGATCTATCTACCGTTTGGAATATTTCTGAAGAAATTTTCAACTAAGTTAGTCGTGATCAAAGTAAAAGAATATTGTTTCGAAATTCCTTTCTTTCTTCTTGTTAATTCTAGTACCAGACATCTTTTGAAGATTTTATTTTATCCACAAATAAAAAAAGAAGTGCCACATATATCTTTTAGACTAAAACATACTCCATGGATTTCTATTTATTTGTCTTATTTTCCTTTTCAATCAGTTTTAAAAAAATGTTTCTTTCCCTTAAGCCACTACCAAAAGAAAAAACTATTTTCGCACTGAAAAATGTTCAGTAGCTATACTCACAAATATTTTAATTGAATCATCAGTGAGAAAAGAAAAAATAATAATGTTTTCATACGAAAAAATTAGAAAATTTGCGTATTTTTCTTATTTCCCACCATATTTTCCCATTGAGGCAGTTTGATGAAAAATGAGTGGGAAATTAAAAAATTATGTTCTATAGCACAGATCTCCTATTGATTCGCAGCGGAAAAATTCTTAATTTCTAATAATAAGCTTATAAACAAATTGAAACGGAAAATTACTATAATATATGTGACCTTTGGAGGTGCTAAGGGAGCAATAATTTTCTTAGAACAACAATTCATGTACTACATTCTCTCTGGTACGGATAGTATAATGTGGACTTGATTTCAACATGTCAACGAGGATATATTCTTTTAAAGAAAAAAAATCTCAAATTAAAAATAAGATTCTATTTAAAAAAGTCACTCCAACTGGATATAATATAGGTTTCGTTTTTCCTTTATATGATATATTGTTTTCAAGAAGGCATACTATGTACTAGGGGTGTATAGAATCGAATTGAGAATCGAATCAAACCGCAAATCGAGTCAACCCGAAAAAAAAATTGACTAGTGGTTTGGTTTGACTTGGTTTGGTTTTGAAAAAAAAAATCTGACTATATTTGGGTTGGTTTGGTTTTAACTAAAAAAAACCAACCCGAGACCAAACCAACCCGAATTTATATATATAATTTTAAAATTTTATTTTATACATAAAAATATTTACTTTGATATAATTTTTAAATATTTCTTATACTTTTCCATAGTTTTTATCTTTTAATATATTATTTCAAGTTTGAAACTTAGAATTATGAATGGGCCAATAAAGATTATAGTCCACAAATGTTGGTAATTATAATAAAGCTTAAATCAAAATCAAATTAATACTAATGCAAAAAAGAAATCAATTCAACACTAAGAATGACAATAATATTGAATAGTTGTTCTTTAGTTTTAGGGATAAGGGTCTGAAAAATACTCCCAACTTTCATCGGATTTGCTGTTGCGATACTAAACTTTCATAAGGACCTATTACCTCCCTAGACTATTTAATAGTGTATTTTAAAGGTATATATGTGCCCACGTAGATACATTACTATTTATAATTTTGCATTATTTTTTATGTCCACGTGGGCAAATATATATGTTTAAAATACGGTATTAAATAGTCTAGGGAGGTAAGAGGTCCTCATGAAAGTTTAGTATCGCAACAACAAATCCAACCAAGTTGGGGTATTTTTTAGACCCTTATCCCTTAGTTTTACATTGGTTTAGACAATTAAAATGCATAATCTAATTTTAATTTTCTTTAACATTTAGTCATGTAACTAATACTTATTAAACTTAATTTTAGCATGATTTAGTACTTTTAAATTATGATCATTTCCATTATGACTTGTTAATTTGCAATATTTGTTTTACGCGATTTCATTGTTATTATTATTGTTGGATATTTTAGTGTCATTAATCATATCATATTGTGTTATATTTTTAAGAAATATCTTAGATAGTTGTATTTTGGTAGGACTAAAGAAATATTTGAAGTACAAGTAAATTATATGTTGTGTATGAATACTTTACCGGAAAAATCCGAAACAACCCGAAAAACCGAAAAACCGAAAAACCCGAAAAAATCCGAAAAAACCCGAGGTTGAAAAACCCGAGTTTTATTGGTTTGGTTTATAAATTTAAAAATCCGACACAAATGGTTTGGTTTGATATTTGAAAAACCCGAACCAACCTAGCCATGTACACCCCTACTATGTACACTGGAAATGCAACAATATTAATGTTCTAAGAATATTTTAAAGGTAGATAAGGCATGCATGCCCTTATCGTGAAAAATCTAGATATATCCAACTTGTTCTAATTAGATATGTTCTCTATATATAGCTTCATGTTTGGTTCAATTTACTCAACAACAAATCAAACCTCAAATTCACTTCACAATTTCTTTCCTCTTCACTAAAAGCTATACATACATATCTTGGCATTTGGTCAAACGATAGTACTCATTAATTATTGAAGTTTATTTAAGCATGGATATGGTGATGAAGTTGGGAACATCAAGCTCGGTGGTGATTTTCACCAAGAGTAGTTGCTGCATTTCTCACAGCATTGAAACTCTAATACGTAGTTTTGGTGCAAACCCTACAATTTACGAGCTCGATACACATCCAAATGGGAAGCAAATGGAGAAGGCATTGATGGAACTAGGGTGTCAACCAAGTGTGCCAGCAATATTTATAGGGAAAGAGTTAGTTGGTGGTGCAAATGAGATAATGAGCTTTAATGTGAGGGGCAAACTTAAACAATTGCTCATAAGGGCAAATGCCATTTGGGTATAGAAAATAATGACTTGGTTGCAAGTGTAGGAGTTTATACAACTATTCTTCTTTTTTTTAAAAAAAATAATTAAAAAAATACCGATCTCTCGAGGTCAAATTATTAATTTTTACAATAAACCAACCCCATTTGTAAAGTTTCTTTAGCTTCTTCAGAGGGTTGTTTTTTCTCCCATTTTAAGTTGTTTTTTGATGTACAAATAAAGTAATATACTTTGGTCATAGCTAGTGGCAATTTTACTTTGTATCCATCTTATAGCATGAAATAAAGAAGTTGATAACAAATGAACATCTTTTATGTATGTAATGCACTTTAATCTGAAGTATCAATAATATTTTTTTTCGTCTATTAGTTAAATTTATCCTTAGTTACATTATAGAACTAAATATGCCTGTCGTTATTAAATTAGGCAAAAATATCTCTATTTTGAATAGAATCACCCAAATCAAATAAAATTGAATATTTTTCCCAAAATGTGGATTAATGTGTTTATAATTGGATTTAATTTGATATGATTTATTTTGTTTGGTGGGTTGTGTCAAATCATATTAAAAGAGGGGAGTGAATAATTTTTTGTTTGATTTGGAAGATTTCATTCAAAATAGAGATATTTTTGCATACTTTAGTAACAACAGAGGTATATTTGGCCCTATAATATAATTAGGGACAAACTTCATTAATTTACGAAAATAGAGGGATACTTTTTACCCTTTTCCCTAAGAGCATAATCAACTTTAAAATAATTTCTTTTCGTCCCATCCCTTACACTTTGTTTAGTCCATGGTTGTTACGTATTGTTTCATAATGTAGTGTATTAAATTGTACTCCCTTTGTCCCTAATTACTTGTCCACTTTTCCTTTTATAGTTGTCCCTAATTACTTGTCCATTTTGACAAATCAAGAAAGCACAATTTTTTTTACCTATTATACCCTCAATTAAATGACTAATTACTTTGAAAAATGTAGAACTTTTCATCCACTTCATAATTAATAGGGAGAAAATGATAAACTCACTATGTCATTAATTGTTGTGTCAATTCAAAAGTGGACAAGTAATTAAGGACAGAGGGAGTGTTTGTTATATTTGTATCATATTGTATTATTTTTATAGATACAATGTTTGTATAAATTGTATCAGTCTATGTCATTGCATAATATCACACATTCATATTTGAATGATAAACCTACAAGAAAAATACGATACGAAATAGGATCAAAGATGTAAAGGACAGGAATGTTATCGTACGAACCTCCTTAGATTTCTCGGTCATTAAGGCCGTTTTGGGTAGGAGTAGAACAAATATACTAGCCTCTTCTAAAAGATCTTGTATATAGTTTGAGATGCCAAACTCGATCTGTAACTTTTTGCACTCTTAAGATCAATGAAGACAAAGATTTAATTTTTAAAAATAATAATAATTTTTTTTAGGGAAAATGGATAAATATACCCATCATTTCTTCCCCTTTTCCGATTTCAATAATAATAGTTAAAAAAATGTTACATAAATTGAGACAGGAAATGCAAAGGAGTTTTTTTTTTTTAATCCCTCCCTAGGAGCTCCCACCCCTTTTGCTCCCTTGGTGACTCAAACTCGCAATCTTCGGGTTGAAAGTGAGGGGTGGTTACCATCCGAGCAACTCCCTCTCGTCAGGTAGCAAAGGACTATTTCTTCCTATTAGCACTTTTTTTTTCTCTCAGAAAGAATCAATAGATGATAAGAGGACAGTTGATCATGTGATGTATGTACTGTACTTTGGAATATTTCGGAAGAATATTGTTAGTCATGATCATCAAAGTAAAAGAATATTGTAATTCGAAGTACCACACATCTTTTGAAGATTTTATTTTATCCTCAGATCCAAAACAAAAAATGTGTCATATATATCTTTTAGAAATTAAAATGATACCCCTTCGTTTTAATTTCAACTTTTTATCGGACATGTTTAAGACCATAAAATCAAAGAGCACTTTGATAGGGTCTATATATCTTTAGCCACTACTAAAAAATCATTACTTCCCCACTGAAATTTCCAAGTGAAAAATGTTAAGCCGCTATTCTCACATATATTTTGATTGAATCGGTAAGAAAAGAAAAAAAAAATTATGTTTCAAAGAGAAAAATTAGGGAATTCCCACTATTCTTGTTTCCCACAATGCATTTTTCCAATGAGCTGATTCAGTGGAAAATAAGTGGGAAAATATAATCATGCTCTATAACACAACTAATTTGCGGAAGAAAAAATCTTTGTCCGTCAAGTCAAAACCATATAAACAAATTGAAAACGGAAAAGTACACTAGTATATGTGACCTTTGGAGGTACTAAGGGGGCCATTTTCATAGAACAACAATTCATGTACAGATGTACTACATTCCCTTCCAAAGAGAATTTTAACAAAGTTCATCTCTGTGGTACGGATGGTATATAATGTGGACTTGATATCAACAACATGTCAATGCATGTGGATATATTCGTTAAAATTTTCAAAAAAAATTTATCTCAAATTAAAAAATATTCTCAGAGCATTATAGGTTTCTTTTTTCCTTTAGATGATATATTATTTTCAAGAGGGCATACTATGTACACTGGAAATGCAACAATATCAATGTTCTGAGAATATTTTAAAAGTAGATAAGGCATGCATGCCCTTATCATGAAAAATCTAGATAAATCCAACTTGTTCTAATTAGATATATCTTCACTTTTTTTTTTCTCTTTTAGCTAACATATAGATAGTGCCTCTATATATAGCTTCATGCTAGGTTTAATTTTCTCAACAACAAATCAACCCTCAAATTCACTTCACAACTTCTTTCCTCTTCACTAAAAACTATATACATATATTGGCATTTTGGCCAAACTAATTATTTCTTGAAGTTGTTTAACCATGGACATGGTGATGAAGTTGGGAACATCAAGCTCTGTAGTGATTTTCACCAAGAGTAGTTGTTGCATTTCTCACAGCATCGAAACCCTAATCCGTAATTTTGGAGCAAACCCTATAATTTATGAGCTCGATACACATTCAAATGGGAAGAAAATGGAGAAGGCATTGATGGAACTAGGGTGTCAGCCAAGTGTTCCAGCAATATTTATAGGAAAAGAGTTAGTTGGTGGTGCAAATGAGATAATGAGCCTTAATCTGAGGGGAAAGCTTAAACAATTGCTCATTAGGGCTAATGCTATTTGGGTATAGAAATTAATTATATTAAGCTAACAAGTGCATTTGGATGGTTGTTTTGTTCTACCTATTTGATTTGGTTCTTGGTGTATAAATAAAAATAATAATATCTTATACTACAATGTGTTATTACATGACATTTTTATTTTTAAAACTTTTTAAATAAAAATTTTAGATCTGTCACTAATTACGTGCTCCTTTTTTTTTTCCGTTTAAGATTGAGCAAGGTCCAATATTACATTGATGTACATAATATATATCAATCATAAATATGATCTCTACTACATTTAAATAAGGGCAAATTACAGAAATCACATACTTGTAAGCCAAAATTACAATTTATCCCTTAAAAGTTTATAATTACAGAAATTCATCAAACGGATACAATAATATAAGCGCTGATACATTAATCTGATGCGCGAGATACATTAATCGTTAAGTAAGATACATTACATTTTATACATTATACACTAATTTGATGTACATTTTATACATGATACACTAATCTGATGCGCGAGATACAATAATATAAGCGCTGATACATTAATCTGATGCGTGAGATACACAAATCTGATGCGCGAAAATGAGGGATTTTGAAGATTTGTAAAACTTATAAGGGATAATGGTAATAAGTAAACTAAAAGGTGGATTTTTGTAATTTTTCCTTTAAATAATACTCAAGTACATTTGTGGGAATCTAATCTGTAAGATGATATTTTATGTTACCTTTTCAATCTTACTCCACTTTTTGACTTATATTAATTCCAGCCGTTTTCTAGTCAGATTTTGTTTTCTTTAACCAAAAAGGCATATTACTCATATTGCGCCTCTCTAAAGTAAATTTTATTAATTTTCATTTGTAATTAAAATGGATTAGATTATTTTAATATTTTAAAATTACAATTTAGATATAAATATTCAAAAAAAATTATAAAAAATATTATAAATTGCAATCATTCTTGTATCAATCTGATTTGGAGACGGGGTAATTAAATCACTAGATCACAAATATTCCTACCCAGACACTAGATCAATAAGAGAATTTGACATTTTCTCATTTTAGTAATGATAGGGGAATGTGTTCCAATTGATGCTAGAACTTGACTTGTTAACCAACAATAATGCCCATATATAATATGTCCTTGTTGAGAATCATAAGAACATGGAAAAAGGGTAAACAAAATTTCCATTTATTTTTGTCTATTAAGTTTGTTTTTAGTTATACTCTAGGATCAAATATCTTTTACAGTTATCAGAGTATGACAAAATATCCCTATTTTGGATGGAATCCCCCAAATCAAATAGGGAAATTTTTGCATATTTCAGTAACGACAAGGGCATATTTGACATTATATATAGTATAATTAGAGACAAACTTAACTAATATTCGAAAAATGAGGAATATTTTTTACCCTTTTCTCTAAAACCATAATCTTGAGTTTAAAGTAATTTTTTTTAGGAAAAAGGGGAAAATATAACCCTCAACATTGCCTCTTTTCTCGTTTAAAATATAATGTGCATAGTGAAAAAGTACTACATAAATTGAGACATGAGAGTACATGTTGGGTTTTATGCAATTTTGATTATTAACAAAGTAACATGAAACATGTAAGTCAATCTGGTTCATAGATGCACTGTCTCAAGAAGTTGAATCCGTTGCAAGATCACTAATGAATAAAGAAAGACAAGCGTGCAATAATCAGGAAACGGGTGATAATTATGTCATAAATTCAATGAAACAAACATGTGCTAAATTGAGGAGTTAAAGTTCAACTACAACACTAAAGAATCAAAGAGTTTGATTTAAATAAGGAGTTTCACTTGAATTAGAACTCAAGTTCAAAAGAGTTTGAGTTGATGGAGAGTTTGTACATGCGCTTAAGAGTTGGAGTTCGATTACAACACAAAAGAATTAATGAATTTGATTTGAAGAAGGAGAGTAAAGGGACAAGGAGTTTGAATTGAAGGAGGAGTCTGGCTTACTTGAAGTAGAACTCTAAGTCAAGAGAGTTTGAGTCTGTCGAGTTTGAAATGAAGAACAACTTTCTGAAGAGTTTTGCTTAAAGGGAAGTAATGTTGATGTAATCTTAGTTCAGTGAGTTATAAGCTGAATTAGGAGTGTTTGTTTACAAGTTTATGATAACTCGAAGACTTGAGAACACATACCTTGAGAGGTTTTTGTTGAAGTTTATGATTTAGAGTTATTTTTTTAGATTATGGAGTTTGTAATCTTAAATTGTTGAGGCTCAATGATTTAGTGAAGTTGGAATCAAATTTGGTAGGCATACATGTTGTGGTTTTACACACCTTTTGAGACGGATGTTTTTCATTATGTTATTAATTTACTTACTATTCTGTTTGCAACAAATGTTAAATATATGAAAAATAAAATAAATCAACCACAAACAAAATATGAAGAAACAAGAATATTATTGATAAAACAATGTGGGTACAATTTTGTTCCTCTCTTGGTTCTTCTCTCTGAATTTTGTCTTAGTTCGAGGTTTAATTTGTTAGTAGTATGTTTCTCTAATTAAGGATTTGAACTTGATCTCCATGAAAGAATTTATAGATCTTCTTGAAGTATTTGATTATCAAGAAGGGTCGTCTCACATATCTTGATGTCTTCATGAGTATCCCGATTGTTTAGGAAATATTCGAGATGTATCTTTAACGAAATATTTTGTTGATAAACAGTGCATGTGCACTTTTTGTTCCTCCCTTTATTTTTACCTCTAGCTTTTCTCCATAATTCGAGAGTTGTTAGTAGCATATTCTCAAATTAGGGATGATTTGGACTTCTTTGATCTCTTTATGAATATCCCCAGAGTTTATGAGATAATCGAGATTTTGATCTTTATGAATATCCAAGAGTTTATGGGATATTCGAGATTTTGATCTTTATGAATACCCAAGAGTTTATATGGATATTCAAGATTTTGTTCTTTATAAATACCGAAGAGTTTATGAGATATTCGAGATTTGATCTGTACAAATATCCAGATGTTAATGTGATATTTGATATGCTTCTTCAAAAGGAAGATATTATCTTTTATCTAGGCATGAACTAGGGTTATAGGATAGAGTAACCTCCTAGAACCTAACTGGAATTAAACTCGTCTTATGGAGTGCCAGTTGAAATTAAATATGTCTTGTAGAGTTATATAAAATTTTGATGTCTACATGTTCTCAATTACAACTGCTTTGTTCAAACACGTTAGATAACATGTTTCACACTTAGTTGAAAAATTAAGTTAAGTAACTAAACTCTAGATCGTATAGAATAACAGTATAAGAATATTTGGCAAGCCAAATAATAGGCTCTTATACCTAGCTTTTCAAAGGTAGCAAAGGACTATATCTTCTTTAATTTGTAACACTTTTTTTTCAGAAAGAATCAATAGATGATAAGAGGACAATTGATCATGTGATCTATCTACCGTTTGGAATATTTCTGAAGAAATTTTCAACTAAGTTAGTCGTGATCAAAGTAAAAGAATATTGTTTCGAAATTCCTTTCTTTCTTCTTGTTAATTCTAGTACCAGACATCTTTTGAAGATTTTATTTTATCCTCAAATCAAAAAAGAAGTGCCACATATATCTTTTAGACTAAAACATACTCCATGAATTTCTATTTATTTGTCTTATTTTCCTTTTCAATCCGTTTTAAAAAATGTTTCTTTCCCTTTAGCCACTACCAAAAAAAAAAAAAACTATTTTCGCACTGAAAAATGTTCAGTGGCTATACTCACAAATATTTTAATTGAATCATCAATGAGAAAAGAAAAAATAGTAATGTTTTCATACGGAAAAATTAGAAAATTTGCGTATTGTTCTTGTTTCCCACCATATTTTCCCATTGAGGCAGTTTGATAAAAAATGAGTGGGAAATTAAAAAATTATGTTCTATAGCACAGATCTTCCCTTGATTCGCAGTGGAAAAAATCTTAATTTCTAATAATAAGCTTATAAACAAATTGAAACGGAGAAGTACTATAATATATGTGACCTTTGGAGGTGCTAAGGGAGCAATAATTTTCATAGAACAACAATTCATGTACTACATTCTCTCTGGTACGGATAGTATAATGTGGACTTGATTTCAACATGTCAACGAGGAAATATTCTTTTAAAGAAAAAAAATCTCAAATTAAAAATAAGATTCTATTTAAAAAAGTCACTCCAACTGGATATAATATAGGTTTCTCTTTTCCTTTAGATGATATATATTATTTTCAAGAGGGCATACTATGTAGACTGGAAATGCAACAATATTAATGTTGTGAGCATATTTTGAAGGTAGATAAGGCATGATGCCCTTATCATGAAAAATCTAGATATCCAACTTGTTCTAATTAGATATGTTCTCTATATATCTCTTCATCATATGTTCAATTTACTCAACAACAAATCAAACCTCAAATTCACTTCACAATTTCTTTCCTCTTCACTAAAAGCTATACATACATATCTTGGCATTTGGCCAAACTATATATACTCATTAATTATTGTAGTTATTTAAGCATGGATATGGTGATGAAGTTGGGAACATCAACCTCGGTGGTAATTTTCACCAAGAGTAGTTGTTGCATTTCTCACAGTATCGAAACTCTAATACGTAGTTTTGGTGCAAACCCTACAATTTACGAGCTCGATACACATCCAAATGGGAAGCAAATGGAGAAGGCATTGATGGAACTAGGGTGTCAACCAAGTGTGCCAGCAATATTTATAGGGAAAGAGTTAGTTGGTGGTGCAAATGAGATAATGAGCCTTAATGTGAGGGGCAAAATTAAACAATTGCTCATTAGGGCAAATGCCATTTGGGTATAGAAATTTAGTTAATAATGACTTGGTTGCAAGTGTAGGTGTTTATACAACTAATCTTCTTTTTTCTTAAAAAAAAATAATTAAAAAAAACCGATCTCTCGAGGTCAAATTTTTAATTTTGACAATAAACCAACCCCATTTGTAAAGTTTCTTTTAGCATCTTCAGAGGGTTGTTTTTTCTCCCATTTTAAGTTGCTTTTTGAAGTACAAATAAAGTAATATACTTTGGTCATAGCTAGTGGCAATTTTACTTTGTATGCATCTTATA